TCTATGTCTCTCTCTGTCTGTCTGGTGAGCACACGCGCCCTATAGCGAAAACCTCTCCAAAAAAAAAAAAAAAAGAAAAATTATGCATGGATTTCCAAACTTTTTGTACTAAAATAAATTTGTGCCTTAATTCCATTTTTCCACAAACTCTTTGAGGTACCATCATCTGTATTGAGGATGAGAAAGAAGAAATCAAGAATGACTTAGATTTTAGCTAGGGAGTTAGCTAGATGGTAATAATCATTAACCAGAACTTTTGTGTTCAGATGATTGCTCTTTGTCATGTCATTCTGGGTTATATACCTATATGATGCTGTTACCCAGACGTTTATGAAACTTTCTGGGATACCATTAAAGGTCAAGTTTAAAGGTTATGTAAGAGAAACTAATTATAGTAACATCTTATTTTGGACTAAAATGGTATTATTAAATTTGATCACATAAATTTGACTTTGAATAACTTTTTTAAAAAAAATTTGACTAGAGAGAGATGGGGCGGTGAAGCGAGAAAGGAGGTTCAGGACTTGAGCCACTGTTGGCCACATGGGAGTCTACCATGCCACCTGCTTCTCCCTACCCCCAGTGTGTTTTTCAAGTTACTGGGTCTGGGACTTGAACCACAGAATTGGTCTTGTGGGATCCAGCCATCTTAACCTACATACCACCTGACTGGCCCACCAATGAAGGTTTTAAAATGAATGTTAATTCCAAAGACTTCGGGAGACCAATGAAGTATATTCTGTCTTCGGGAAAGTCATGACATAGTTTTCTGTTTTTCTATTAAAAAAATGCTTTATGACTTTCCTGACAACTCAATATATAGTGGCATTTTGTAATTTAGAGAATTGTTTACTGTATATTTTTATGTAATCTTCATAGCAACTGGTAAGGTAGATATTATTAGTCCCATTTTATAAATGAAAAAGCTGACGTTCAGTGACTTCAGCCTGGCTCTTTTTTTTTTTTTTTTTTAACTTTTCCTTGCTCGCTCTTTTGATTTCTCTCTTTTTTACATGCTCCCCTCAGGGCATGTGTACTTGTCAGAGAGAGAAAGACAGAGGGAAAGTGAACAAGCAACCTGCAGGGGTGTGGCCACGCTGCAGTCAGTTTTCCTCCTCTTGGGATTTTTGGTATGAGCACATGCGTGCCTGGCATGATTTTTAGGCAACCAGGACTCAGACCATTTTGTGCATGCCTAAAATCATCAGAGGAGAATGGAAGAGAAGGGGCTGTGGTGGGGCCATCCCCCCTGAGGAGTGATTTTTTACGTTTCTTCTCACTGGCGAGTATATGCACCCTATGGCAAAAACCTTAAAAAACAAAAAAGTTACTTGTACTTTCTTGTTAGAACCTATTAAGCACCACTCTTGGGTCAAAAAAATCTTTTCAGAGTTCTTGGTTTCACATGAAAGGCAAGAATAGAGATCTACTTTTTTCACATTCGAAATAAAGTTACAGAGTTTGTGCAGTTAGTTTCTGTAGGGCCTTGTGGAAAGTTTACATTGGAATTTGTCTGAGAACAATAGCACTAGACAGACAGAGCGCCATAGATTCCAGCCCACATGTGCAAACTCTTGCTGGGTAGCTGAGGGACGGTGTCTACCCTGGTGTAAGGAATGCGAGCCCTGCAACTTCACAGTCACAATTCAGTTGATTTAAAGAGATTTGTTCCCACTGCTTTGGGAGCTTGGAATATACAATGTCTGTATTCACCTCTTGCCTCCAAAGCTAAAAAGAGGGAAGAGCTGAATAAGGAAGTATTGGTTGGATTTTTCTCTGCAAAGAGTGAGCCACTCTACACTCTAGTATACTAGAGTAAAGCATGAGGCTCTTGAAATGTTTGTGTGCCTAATATCAGTAGTGTGAAGGGCACCGTGAACTTTTTTTAGAAAAACTTCATTAGAGTGAATGAGGTCCTTACTCAATAGAACCTTGTACATAGTGGATAGCAAGAAACTTACGTAGAATCAATTTTTAAATTTTAGCCTTAGAACACTTTGTCTTTCAAGTGTCTTTTTTTAATGAGATGAGGGGGTAAGAGAAATACAAGTACCCTGAACAGGGTCTCATACTACAGTTCTCGCCTGGCATTCTCTGCCTGCCGGTCCTAGGGCTCACGTGTGCATAGGGTGTACAGGTCAGTTGGGTACAAAACCCCATCTTTCACATGGCTTCCACCATTGCAGAGCATTGTGGTTTTCTTCTTTTTTTTTTTTTTTTTGAGAGGTTTTTTTCGCTATAGGGCGCATGTACTCGCCAGACAGACAGACAGAGAAAGCGAGAAATCATCCCCCAACGGGGATGGCCACACCGCAGTCCCTTCTCCTCCATTCTCCTCTTGGGATCTTGGGCACGCACACACACGTGCCCAGCGTGAGTTTTAAGCCACCGGGTCTGGGACGCGCACCAGGGTCAACTATGTGGGAGTCCGGCGACATAGCCATTACGCTAACTGCTGGTCCCGAGCATTGTGTTTTAACACAGATTTTTCTTTTGACAGTGGCTGGACCTAGATCACCTTTAATGCTTTTGAAAAGAGTTGATACGATAATGTGACTAAGGGAGGTCATGGGTTTTTCATGATCCTGTGTAAACCTTAGTTTTCAATTTGAAAAGGTATTGTGGCATAATGATGTATGTATATCATTTCAGAAACAGCAACTTTTTAGCAGAAAACTTGTGTATGCTCTTTAAGTATCCTTCATTTATTTTATGCTGACTTTATTCCCGTACCTTAAGTTCTGTTTCTTCAGTTTCTGCTGAGATATCTTTTTCTTCTGTGCAACTTCCTCTTCCAGTTTAGGAACAGTGTGCTCCTCGTCAGTGAGGATCATCATCTCCATGTGGCGGGGGAAGCTCATATGTGGGTTAATCCGCCCATGAGCTCTGTACGTGCAATGGCACATCTTGGGTGCCATGTTCACCTGAAATGTGCTCAGTGACCACAGAGTCTACATCTAACCCCTAAAGTTCAGCATTACTCGCTGCATTTTAAGCACGTGCAGCAAAAACTCAGCACTCATTTTGGGTCACCGACCTTGTGTCTAGTTTAGCACATCTACCAACTCCACCATTGTAACGGCGGAATGGCACACACTGCTTCTGCAAAGTGACATTCTTCATATACTTCATGACTTTTCGGATGTGCACACCCTTAATGGCCTGGGCAGTTTCATGAGCGTTGTTCTTAAAAGTGAACATGAATATCTGAATCTCTTGATTTGCATGACTGTGGGGTTCTCTAGGTCAAGGGAATAGGAACCAATTTCAAAGATTATATGAGGCCATTGCCTTATTTATGTATTTATTTTTGGAGAGGTTTTTGCTATAGGCTGTGTGCGCTCGCCCGGAAGACAGAGAGAAAGCGAGAAATCACCCCCTAGGGGGATGGCCATGCTGCAATCCCTTTCCTCCATTCTCCTTGCAGGATCTTGGGCACACACGCACACACACCCAGCATGAGTTTAAGCCACTGGGTCAGGGACTTGAACCGCCGTCGACTACATGGGAGTCCAGCGACATAGCCATTACACTAACTGCTAGTCCCCATTGCCTGATTTTTTTTATACTGTTATATGAGAGACTTTTTGGCTTAAAGTTCATCTAGGTTGCCTGAACTTGATAGTAGCTCCTGAAGTGACCTAAGGCCCTCCCCCAACAAACAGCTTGTTCTTTATCCTTTCTAATTAATCCATTTGCATCAGGCTCTGCTGTAGCTAAGCTATATACTTGCTTTTGCTAGTGACTTACTCTGTCTTTTCCTTTTTAAATTTTTTTAAATAATTTTTCTTGCTATAAGGTATGTGTGCTGAGAAAGACATAAAGCAAGAAATCACCTCTGGGGGGATGGCCACACTGCAGTCCCTTCTCTGCCATTCTCTCGAGATTTTGGGCACACATGCACATGAGCCCACCATGAGTTTTAAGCCGCCAAGTCTGTGACTCGAACTGTGGTTGACTACATAGGAGTCCAGTTATGTACCCATTATGCCATCTGCTGGTCCCTTTTGTTTGTTTGTTTTTTAAGAATTATTTTTTATTTAATTTTATTATTGTTATTGTTTTCCAGTTTGATCAGAGAAAGACAGAGAGAGAAGGAAAGTGAGAAAAGAAGCCACCAGGTTTGAGACTTGAACCATGGTTGGCCATGTGGGAGTCCAGCACCTTTAGCCATCGTGCCACCTGCCAGCCCACCTTTTGTTTTTTTAACCTTGTGTTTTAATCATCTTTTCCTTAAGACTTAGCTTAAAAATAATTAGTATTTCTTTGTTGAATATTACGTTACCAACTCTTGATTATTTTACCTTGTATTATTTATGCTAAATGGAAACTTTCTTTTACATTTGTAGGTAATATTTTCAATTATCCCAGTTACTTAATAAGGTTTTTTTTTTCCAAGTAGGAAATAATGTCAAGAATATGTACTGTCATTGTTTTCATCTTATTTTTATTTTTTTGAATTTGCTATAGGGTATACACACTTGTTAGAAGAGAGATGGGGGAGGGTAGAACGCACCTCCCTGGAGGGATGAGTATGCGAAAGTTCCTTCTCCATTCTCCTCTAGGGATTTTGGGCATGCACACAAATGCTCCTAGTGTGTTTTCTTTCTTTCTTTTTTCTTTCTTTTTTAAATAATTTATTTTATTTATTCATTTATTTTTTAGTTTGATCAGAGAGAGACAGAGGGTGAGAGTGAGAGAGAGAAAGTGAGAAAGCAGGCCACCAGATTCAGGACTCGAACTCTGGTCGGCCATGTGGGAGTGTCCAGCGCCTTAACCACCATGCCACCTGCTGGTCCCTCCTAGTGTGTTTTCTAAGACTCCGAGTCTGAGATTTGGCACTGTGCAGTCAGCCATGTGGCATCCATTTGCCTTAATCGTTGCACTTATTTTTAATCTCTTACTCCATCTCTAAATCTAACAGTACAGAACTGGAGAACTTGATAATACTGAAGCTGATCTCTAAATGTGTATTGATTCTTGATTCTCTTACCTTGCAGACATGTTGGCCGTCATTGCCTCCGAGCCCGCCTTAGTCCTCAACTTCATATGAGAAAGTAAGTTTCTAAATCTGTGGAGATTATTATTTAACTTTTTTTCCTCAGGGAATAGCAAAAGGTTGTTGACCTAGATTTGTGGGGTATGTTTGAAAGTGGGCAGTTATAGACAGTTGGCTGAAAATTTAGAAACTGTTCACTGTTTTTCTCATGTGGGAGTATAAGAAGGAAGGATATTTCTTTAGTCTATTATTTGCATCGCCAGAGGGTGATACCAGAGAGAGAGAGAGAAAGAGAGAGAGAGAGAGAAAGCGAGAAAGCACCCCCCAGTGGAGCGTGGTAATGGAGAGAGAGAGAGAGAGAGAAAGCAAGAAAGCTCCCCCCAGTGGAGCGTGGTAATGCTTCAATCCTCTTTCCTCCCTCTCCAGCCCATCAGGATTTTGGACACATATACATACATGCCTCTTCATGTTCAGGAACATGTTTTTGTTCTTTTGTTTTTTAGTTTTTGCTATAGGGCATGTGCACTTGCCAGAGAAAGATGGGGGTGGGGAGGAAAAGTGAGAAATCACCCACCAGGGGATGGTCATGTCAAGTTCCTTCTTCTCCAGTCTCTTCTTGGGATTTTGGGCATTTACACACACGTGCCTGGAGTGATTTTTCCAACCGCCTCTTTCAGACTCGAGTTGTGCAGCAAGCCATGTGGGATCCAGCACCTTAACCTCCACGCCACCTGTTGGCCTCAATGGCATGTTTTTTAAGTCTCTGGGGCTGTAATTCAAACTATTGTCAGCCATGTGACATCCAGTTCCCTATGTACAATGACAGGGAAAGTGAGAAAGCAAGCCACCAGGTCTGGGATTCAAACTGCAGTCAACCTTGTGGAAGTCCGGAGTCCTTAAACACCATGCTACCTGCCAGACCCAAGTCTGGCTCTTTTTTCCCTTCTAAAATTTTTTTTCTAGAGGAACTAGAGGGAGACATAGGACCATAAGGTACAGGGGGAGTGAGAAAGCAGCCCCCCAAAGGGGATTGATCACACCACAGTCCCTTCTCGATTTCTCTTTTCAGGATTTTGGGCATGCACACACATGTGCCAGTTGTTTTTCAAGCTGTTGGTTCTGGGAATCGAACTGCACAATCGGCCCTGTGGGATCCAGCTGCTGTAACCTCTGCTGGCCGGCCCTTTATTATTATTTTTAAAATATTTTCTTTCTCTCTCTTGCTCTCTCTCTCTCTCTCTTTTTTTTTTTTTTTCTTTGAGATAAGAGTCTTTGACAGACTCTTTGACAGGGTCTTGTTAGGTTGCCCAGACTAACCTTGAACTCAGAATCCTCCTGCATCAGCCCCCAAGTAGCTGGGATTGCAAGTATACTCTACTACACCTGTCTCTAGTCTTCTCTCTCTGTCTCTTTTTTAGAGTTATTTATTTAATTTTATTTATTATTTGCTGTAGGTCACGTACATTCACCAGAGAGAGAGAAAGCAAAAGCAAGCCACCAAGTCCGGGACTCAAATTGTGCTTGGCCATGTGAGAGTGTAGTGCCTTAACCACCCTATCACCTACTGACCCCCTTTAGTCCTCACCATTTTTATGTTTAAAGAATTATTTTATTTAACTTTATTTTTTTATTTTAGTTTGACCAGAGAAGGACAGACAGAGAGAGAAAGTGAAAAAAAGCCTCCAGGTCTGGG